GCCGCTGCCGCTCTTCTTGCCCCGGGCGAACTCCCCGATGAACTTGGACTGGTCCGGCCAACTCTCTGTGCCGAAGCCATCCTAACAGAAAGCCGAGGTGTTCGCTCACTGGGTACCCCTTTGGCCGCTCTGCGAAAAGACTGAGGGAACTGAACGTTGATACATGCTACGCCCAAATGGGTCTGAAGCCAAATTGTTTGGCTATTTATGCAACCATCGTTTTGGAGCGCGGTCCTCCTGTCTTGGGGGTGGTCGCTAACATGGTTCGTAACACCAGTTACCATGGTTTGCAAGGGATTCCGTTGGGGCTACCAACCACAGAAGCCAACTCCTGGATCATCTAGGCACTGCGCTCACGAGGTTCCACTGGACCTACTGCGGATGGACAAAAGTCTGCACCTGTGAATTCTGCAGGGCCAAAACGATGTGGCCCGAAGCGCATGGACACGTTCAGCCTGTGAATTTTGTATCATGACAGCCCAAAAGGAAGTGGTCCTGTATTTTATGGTAGACATCACCCTGGGCCAACTCAATCCTCCAGTGGGTGGGGTGGTGTTTAAAGATTGGATATCTAGGAATCCCTAGAAGTCTTCACCCACTGCTGCTGTGGACAAATCCTGCATCCGTTCGCAAGTGGTTTCTCCCAGTGATAAGTGCATAGGTGCAGGGCCCCCTCTGAAAGTGCAGAACTAGGTCCTCCAGTAGAAAGGTTAGAATAAAGGTACCAACTTCTTTCTGTTGCCTATTTTAGTGGGCGAACCCTCCCCCAACAAAGAATAAAAGGGGCCTACTGGGAAACCTAGAGAAAGCATCTCAACGACTTGGCGCCCTTTGCGTCCTCAGCGGTCGGAGGTGAATTCGCAGTTGAGGGCTCCGCGCTGAGAGAGACTGCATGCCTTTAGTCTCAGAAACTGTGAACTGGCGTGAGTGCCTTGCAGTTCAAACTCTAAACCTTCCCGAGGCTCCATGCAGGTAATGATTACACACGTTTGAGGAGGTGTGGTCAACATAGGCAAACTTTAGGTACTTGCCCAAATCTGGCTTGCACCAAGGTCACTCCCCAATCCGTCCCGTCAAAATGCTTTTTTGTTTCTTTTCTTGTGTTCCCCCCCAAGCACAACGGAAAGCAAGGAGAAGATAGCTCCCCTTCGGTTTCCACGAGGGCATTGGTACCCCTCCCAAGTAACATGGGCTTGTGCACAGGCCGCAGAAAGACGACTTTCCTCTGGAACCTGTGTGCACTTCGGTGGTAGGGTACCCAGCTCCGCCTTGCTTTCCCGTTATAACACATTAAAACCCGCCAAGTTGACACCGATCTCGGCACTTCCGCCCGAATCTCCCAGATGCGCCTGCAAATCGTTGCGGAACTGGCCTCAGCTCTCAGGCGGTTTTGGGACAGCCGGGTCACATCGCATGGTCAACCCCTGACGCATTTTTTGGGTGACTCTACATGGGTTGTTTTTGGATGCATGATTGTCCTCCGGTGCAAGGTGGACATATGTGTAAAAAAAGGGTTCCGAAGTTGAGTCCAGCATCCCTACATCTCCACTTTGGGTAAGGAAAAAACGGGACAAAATCTAGCAAACCGGGGATCCAGGGCCATTGTTTAAAGTCTTCCTCTTGGTAAAGTGACGAAACACCGGAATTCTTTTGGACCCAAGAATCCAAGCCCAAGTCATGTTTTCATTTCGAGCGAGTCTTCCTCTTGGTGGGGATGAACAAACGGGAAGCCCCGACCCTCCAACCCCAAGTCACCTTGAGACCTTGAGACCTTGAGGCGCTCGCCCTGATACACCGTCCCGTTCTGGTGGACGTAAGTGCCCAGGCCGTGCGCCAAGTTGTCCCTGGCCGAGCCAATGCCGGCGACGGAGAGGCCCAAGGAGCCCGAAGCCTTATGGACCCTGAGACTTGAACAAAAAAAGACCCGAGGGAGATAGACGTTCTACCTTTCGAGATGGAAAAAAACATCAAAAGCAAAAAAGGTGACCAAGACGCAATGGTTTCTTATGGTCTCAAAGTGGTGCAGGGTGTTGTCCATGCTCAGTAGGAAATGGAGGGTTTGTAGGGGTCATTCCATTTCTCATTCCCTGCATATCGCACCAGCAAGAACTGGGGAGACCCGAGTTGGCCCTCGAGACGTTAAAACGCCCCTCGTTGAAAGATTCTTAAATTGATAGATGGACCAGCACGGGTACAAGTGCATACTGAATCTGCATGTTGAATGGGCGCATGCACAACACTCGCACCGGTGGACTCTAAAAAGCGTGCATGCATAGATGGACAAATAGATGACAGGTTCAGTGTCATCAATAACATGCATGAATGCATCCGACTGCGGATGGGTATGCGCATGGGTTTAGGTTGGTTTTAGGGTTGACTTAGAATTGGTTCAAGGTGGGGTTAGGTTGAGCTGTGGGTCGGCCATACGGCATTCGAGCAGGCAGGGTAAAAACAAATCCAGCCAAAAGCCGCACCAGCTCAAACCCAACCGCCAACCGCCACAAGCTTGCGGACCGAATGGGGTGGACGAATGGGCGGATGGACAAAGCACAGGTTCGTGCGCGGGCAACTTTTGGACGGGTGCCTTTTGTGCAAACAACTGGCACATATCAGGCAAAACACTGATCAAGTGGATCAACGGCCAAAGCTGGCGGGCGGCTTGCTCGAACCATTCGATACCCCTGTCCATCCTTTTCCCTCTCGCAGTTGTCTGTAGAGGGAGAGAGAGAGTTGCCTGTACACTGGGCTTCTCCCCAAACCAATCCAATCCGCGAGCCACGGTGGGAACGTTCCCAGAAACTTCCGGCCGGAGATCAGCTTTCGATGCCAAATGCCACGGTTCGCAGGAGATCTCCGGCAGGTCTTGGACCAGAAGCAAAAAGGCTACCCTCGGGACCAAAGCTGTGAGGACATTCACATTGGGGATACATGTCCACCACGTTGCACCAAGACACCTTCAAACTCAAAGGATCCAACAAGACACATGACATTTGCCCATGCAAAAAGGACGAAAAAGAGAAAGAGAAAGAGAGAGAGAGAGAGAGAGAGAGAGAGAGAGAGAGAGAGAGAGAGAGAGAAAAAGAGAGAGAAAGAGAGAGAGAGAGAGAGAGAGAGAGAGAGAGAGAGAGACGAGAGGCTGCCGGCGGCTGCGGTAAGTACTACATATGTCTACATTCAGCCTTGGCACACGTTGGCCTCACTTCGGTCCGCTTTCATGAGCCTCGCTCATGGCATCCAGATAGGCGCCGACCTTGGTGGGCCACCCCCACAAAACCATCGTGCCCTGCGCGCTAGCAATCACACGGCCTGCCAGCAAGGACCCTCAATGAAAGGCGAACAAGCGGAAAAAAGGCGGTTTTTGTGTTCCGCCTTTGGGCAAGCAGCTACAATGACACTGGGTTCGCGGGGTTCATCACCCACAAAAGTCACGTTGAGCAGCTAGCTCCTCCAGTAGGGAGGGTAGAGTAAGGGTACTCTTTTTTTCTGTTGTCTATTTCAGTAGGGGAACCCTCCCCCAAAAAGGAAACGGTAAACGGGCACTGCTGGACCAAGAAGGCAGGCTGAGGGGGTTCAAACCAACCAATCTCAGCGGGCGCGCGCTTCCCATCTCCGCAGCCATTCGGGTGGCAGAAGGGGAGACCGGGTCGCATCCAGAGGTCTCTGCCTCCAAGGAAATGAAATCAAGTGATATCACATGACAATGTGGGAAATGATTCGAACTGAGAGCAGCCAAAGAACAAGGAACTCACTCAGGGACAGGACCACAAAGGACACGACATGGACCTGTTTCAAAAAATCCGGGGCTTGTGGGCGGGTGGGTTTCGGTCATTGGGTGACCCATGTTGCTCATGCTTCAGCAATCTTCGGCTGTTCCATAAGAATTGAAGCAAGGCTTCACAAGTTCACGAGGCAACTCGAAATCATCATCCGTTTTTCAAAGGCTAGCTCTATCTCATTTGGATATGAAGGCTTCTGAAATTAATGTGACTATTCAGCAGCCCAAGCCATGGCATCTGAATCCAGCGGTTGCTTTTCGGCCTGCTGGGCCTTGCAGGCCGGCCCTGCGCCGTGGCATAGAACCATCTACCCTCCCACCAGCTAACGTGGAAGTGCACAGACCCCTGTAGAAAGACGACTTTCCTCTTGGAAAGGGCCTTTTGCACTTCCATGTTGGTGGGAGGGCATCACAGGGTGAACTGGAGGTGTTGGACAGCGTCCTTTCTCTTGGGTCAATGTTGCGGCCTAGTGCTGGCCTATGCTGGGAGCAAAAACTCAGCGGGGGCTGAGCCCCTGTGGGCAGTGCTGCCACCCGACGACGTCACGCTGCCTTGCCCTTCCGAAGACCTGTCATGGTGTGTTCATGCCATGCTGGGTGAGAGTGGAGGAGCCTGACGAGGGCAGCACTGCCTCCATACTTCCCAATAGAAGGGCAGCGCCATGTTGCCCCGATGACGCTTGCACTTGCAGGGCAAGGGATCATGAAGCAAGGCCTGCCACCCAGGTCAATCCATCCATCCATTCATCCATCCATGCATCCATCCATCCCTGAAACCATCCATCCATTTATCCTCCATCCATCCATCCTGAATGATCCATAGCATCTCATCCTTTCATGGACCGGGTCTTGGGTGCTGTAGATCCTGCAAAAAGTCACACTTTTGCTGGTCCAAAGTAAAAGTCTAAAGATGCAACCCGATACCAGAGGTCGGAAAGCATCCTGCGGGGCACCTCTCCCTCAAGGCTGGGGCTCCGAGCTGCGTCTTCCAAGAAGTCCGTGGGAAGAGAGGCGGCCATACCTAGCGAGACGAATCGAAGGATACCTCCGCAGACGGCCTTAAGAACTTAAGACCAAAACGGCAAACGTGGGTAGCCACTTTGGTTACATGGGTATGGGTCAAAATTGAACTACCAGAAAACAGCAGGTTTTGGTCCATGTTTCCACTTACTAGGGTTCCATGGGTAGCAATTTTTGACCGCAAAGATGGGTAGCTCTAGGGGTTGATTCCTTTTCCATTCTTTTCAACCATCGTTCTTTCCAAAAACCGGATCCGTTTTCCCTGGGTTTCCGGAGGTTTTCTAGAAAGATTCGCATCCCTGGAAAGAATTGGGAAGGTACCCCTTCAGTAGCCAGTTTGGTTGCACGGCTGTGGGTCAAAAATAGTTTCCCAAACTGGCACCCTGGTCAATGGAAGCATGGACTAAAACCTGTGCTCCCTTGGTGGTTTAATTTTGACCCATACTCACATGGGTGTGAACGTTACTAGGTGACAGGCGAGTTGTCATAGGGAACTCTTGGTGCAACAAACAGTTCTCATGTGTCGTGTTGCAAAAAAGGAAATAGAGAAGTGACAAGGCTACACACAACTTGGTAACTTGGCGTAAACCCTAGCGGGTGTCAAACAATCCTTTGGTTTTAGTTCTGCTTCATCACTTTGGCATCGGAAGAACAGTCAACATCCTTGGCACCCTGCAAATGAACAGGAGTCTGCACCATGAAGAAACCCAAGACCCTTCTAAGCCTTTAGAATGGGCAGTTGGCAAACATAAACTAGAAAAGGCTTTCTTCACAAGCCATGCTTCATAGGTTGTTCGGATGGCTACAATGTTGGCGACCAACCACAGGGTGTTTCCAAAAAGGCGACCGCGGAAACAGGGCGATTTCCTTTCGCGGCTTCCTTTGAGAGGGTCCACCCAACTCTCGAAACATCTGCAGGCTCAAAAGGGTCGTTTTCTAAGACACCCCCGTCATCATCTTGAACATTCTAGCAGGCCCTTGTTCAGGCTCTGCTTTTGGTAAGGGTGGAAGTATTTAATGAGAAAGTGGTTTCCAAAACCAGGGCATGCTTCCCTACATTTTCTCTTGAAACGTTGGCATCGTAAGGAAAACTGGCGTGTTCCGAGTAGATTTGCTGGTTCACCGAAGGTAAACCGCCCATGTTGCGGGGGCTCGAGACAAAACTCCGGGTTTCCGGCCGTACAAGCCCGCGGTGGAGTTGAAACGCTGGGGGTCCGCCTTGACCGTCTGCACGGCGGCCTCGAAGCAAAACATATTGAACTTTGTTTTTTGTTGGGAAGGAACACGCAACCACCCAACCAACCAACCAACCAACCAACCAACCAACCCAACCAACCAAGCAAGCAAGCAACCAACCAAACAACCAACCACCCACCCAACCAACCAACCAACCAACCCAACCAACCAAGCAAGCAAGCAACCAACCAAACAACCACCCACCCAACCAACCAACCAACCTACCAACCAACCAACCAACCAACCCAACCAACCAAGCAAGCAAGCAACCAACCAAACAACCAACCACCCAACCAACCAACCAACCAACCAACCCAACCAACCAAGCAAGCAAGCAACCAACCAAACAACCAACCACCCAACCAACCAACCTACCAACCAACCAACCAACCAACCACCCAACCAACCAACCAAACCACCCACCCAACCAACCAGCCAACCCACCAACCAACCAACCAACCACCCACCCAGCCAGCCAACCAACCAACCACCCAGCCAACCAACCCACCAACCCACCCACCCAACCACCAACCACCCAGCCAGCCAACAAGCAACCACTCAACCAGCCAGCCAGCCAACCAGCCAACCAACCAACCACCCAACCAACCAACCAACCAACCACCCAACCAACCAGCCAAACCAGCAACCAACCACCCGCCCAACCAACCAACCAACCAACCAAGCAACCACCCAAGCAACCACCCAACCAACCAACCACCCAACCAACCAACCACCAAGCCAACCAACCCACCAACCAACCACCCAACCAACCAACCAACCAGCCAACCCACCAACCAACCAACCAACCACCCACCCAACCAGCCAGCCAACCAACCACCCAGCCAGCACCACCCAAGCAACCACCCAAGCAACCACCCAACCACCCAACCAACCAACCAACCAGCTAACCAACCAACCAACCACCCAACCAACCAACCAATCACCCACCCAACCAACCAACCAACCAGCCAACCAACCAACCAACCACCCAACCAACCAACCAACCAACCAACCACCCACCCAACCAACCAACCAACCAGCCAACCAACCAACCAACCACCCAACCAACCAACCAACCAATCAATCAATCAACCAACCAACCAACCAACCACCCACCCAGCCAGCCAGGCCAGCAAGGCCAGCCAGGCCAGCCAACCAGCCAATGAAGGGCGAAGCCAAACTAGCCAACCAAGTATATTGGGGTAAATGCTTGAGCTCGTTGGCTCCTCAGCTGGATTTCAAATGTGGCTCACTTGCTTTCCCACAATCTACAGCCACTCTCTGCAAACTACCGTGAAACCATGAGAAGGCTTCCCCAGAGACCTCCCAATGAAGGCTTGCGGGTTTCCATGTTGATCTGCAGGGGGGTACCTTTTGGTTGTTTGGATGAGTGTGGGAACCGACTGAGGAAACTGTGCAGCTAGGGATAGAGCGCGCACCTGGTCAGTAGACTAGAACCATGGTTGCAA